TTCTACACATCGCTGTTAGGTTGCTTTGCCGGGATTTTTTTTTTTTTTTTTTTTTTTGCCACGGGCGCTGTCGCTCTCGACTTCGGGCCCCGGGGGCCCTCACAGATCGAGCGGGCTCGAAAAAGGACGCAGCGAGATGAGGTCCGGGGCTCCGGGCGTGATTTCTGCGATGCTGCACTTGTTTTTGCCTAACATCGAAGACTGGTAGGTTTCTAGTGGTGTCAAAAGAGAGCAGCACATTACTTCAACATTACTTCAACATTACTCCACAGGGGGGTCTGGGCAGCCGTTGGGGGCAGTTGGGGGGCTGTTGGGGTTTGCCGGCGGGGATCGTTTTTCGCATACAGTCACACACTTCGTGCCCACTTCGTGCTCTTCGATTTCCCAGAACTCCATTCCCGGGCCACATTTTGGAAGCCCGGAGCCAACTGTAGGCCACTTCGTGCTCTTCGATTTCCCAGAACTCCATTCCCGGGCCACATTTTGGATGCCCGGAGCCAACTGTAGGCCACTTCGTGCTCTTCTATTTCCCACAACTCCATTCCCGGGCCACATTTTGGAAGCCCGGAGCCAACTGTAGGCCACTTCGTGCTCTTCCATTTCCCAGAACTCCATTCCCGGGCCACATTTTGGATGCCCGGAGCCAATTGATCATCATTACAACCACCACCATCACCTCAACCACCATCACCACCACCATCATCACCAGCAGCAACAGCATCATCATAATCATCATCATCATCCTCCTACTCCTCCTCGTGCTCCTCCTCCTCCTCCTCCTCCTCCTCATCATCATCATCATCATCATCATTATCATCATCATCATTATCATCATCACCACCACCACCATCATCACCGTCATCATCATCATCATCGTCATCATCATCATCATCATCAGTATCATTCTCATCATCATCATCACAACCACCACCATCACCTCAACCACCATCCCACCACCACCATCATCACCAGCAGCAACAGCATCATCATAATCATCATCATCATCAAAATCATCATCATCGCCATCATCATCATCAGCATCAGCATCAGCATCGTCATCGTCATCGTCATCGTCATTGTCTGACAGCCGTCTTTGGTTCAGGACGTGCCCTTCCAGGATGGCCCTCCCTTGGCCCTATCCTTACCGGCCTGCAGCCTCGGCTTCTCGCGGTGCTTCTCAGCCTGCGGAGGAAGACCGACACACGCCTGCGGCCGCGCCTGCTCGCTGTGATCCTCAACCTGCGTCTTTTACGGTCGCCTCTTTTAACTTCGGGTTCGAGCAGAGCATGATGATGGGGAAGAACTCCAAGACTCACTGCTCCAACTTCGGGCGGATTTGCGCCAAGATAGTCGAGGAAGTCGATGCTGACCTTTTCTTTGGGTGCGAGGTCGGTGCGTTTCGTCAAGGCCTGAGTCGAGCATCCATCAACGTGAAAGACATCCTGACCAAGCCGTTCGGCGACAGCATCGGCTTCTGCGAGGTCGCCAACTACTTGAGCCTATGGGGCTTCGGCGGTGCTTCTCAGCCTGCTGACGTGTCCCT